ACACACACACACACACACACACACACACACACACACATATACATACATACACACACAAACACTGACACGTACATTGAAACAAACACTGACACATGCACACACCCAGACAAGTGCACACACTAGCACACACACACACACACACACACACACACACACACACACACACACACACACACACACATACACATACACCCATACCCTCACCTACACCTACAACATAAAGCATTGAGGTACTGGAGAGAGGTGGTACGCAGCATGTCTGGACCAGAGCACCAGACGCTACAGAAGTGTGTTTTCATTTTCTATGTTTTAGACTTGTTTTGAGTTTTTTTTTTATTTTTGTAAACAATTTCTAAAAAATAAACAGACAAGCAAGCAAACAAAAACACCCCAGAATATTCTTTGCACTGTTTTCCACTCTTAACTCCAATCTATTTTTCTTATGAATTGACGTTGTATTTTTTTTTCTTTTCTATTATTGCTAATGTAAGAACTGTAAAACATCTGAAACCTGCAGTATATTAATGTATAGGTATTGCTGTTAGATCATTCTTATTGTGATGGTAATAACTTTCATGTAAGTCTATGCTCGATATAATGTCATCCATCTGTGTCAGACATCACACTGTCATCAGGTCCATTGGCTTCAGTGCTAGAAAACAGGCTGGGGGAGAACAAGGCTAGTGTTTTAATACTGTACTACATCTTGTTTGATGCGAGTCCAAAGCAGCACACTGGAAACCAGTTTACCCACTAAATTACCATCCAGCGCCTGGTTTGGATCTGTTGTCTTGTCATTGCAGAACTGTTTGCGTTGTCTTGAAATCTCTATCTGGGGGTCCTCTATTCAGAGAACAGAAAACTTCTCAAATTTGCTACTCAAAATATTTTAAAAACAAGTTTTGACAGGATTGTAAAATAAGAAAAAAAAAAAGACTTTTGTATTAACTTAAGTTTCCCAGAAATGTTTTTAATCACAATTAAGAAAGCTGCAGACCAAGGAGCTACATGTAAAGATTCTTTAGATATTGATTACACTGCGCTGTTTTATGTTTTATGAAGAATCATTTTGTTGGCTTTACTCCTCATGTTTGTGTCTGTGCTTGTATATTTTTAGCTAGTAATTTCTGTAAAAGTTATTCTATGTATTCCTCCCTAGAACTATGAGAAACTCAATCTAATGTAAAGAGATGAAAAGCCTCTTAAAGTTTTTTTAAACGTGATTTTTAATGGTACAATCACTGATAAAAGAATTTTGCCCTCATTTTAGCAAACTGTATTTATTTTTCTATGTACTGACATTCTGTTTAGGTCCCACCCACCTGTACAATACTCATGATAATATATGGAGGAGTTTGTGGGGCTGCTGAGTCAGTTAATGCTAATAGAGGTCATTCCATTACTTTTGTTCTTTGACATGCGGCTCCCAGGTCATTCTGACCTGTTTATTACAATGGTTCAGTATGTTCACAGTAAAGAGATATTTAATAGCCATTCTCTGCTGTTGTAGGTTTCTGGTCTATCTGAAAACTTGTCAGATGCACTGAAAACCAATAAATAACCACATTTAGAGAAAACGTTAACCTCTTAGTTGTCCTTTTTTTTTTTTTTTTTTTTCTCTGTGAAGTTGCTCAAGTTTATGGTGAGCCTCGAGCTCTTCAGATGCTGGGAATGTGCCACAATGGCGCAACCTTTAATGAGATTTAGTAAAATGTACCTATCAATCATATTTTTTTTTCTTTTTATGGTTTTGTATTTGATGGATATTTTTCATATACAGTTAAAGTGAAAAATAAGTGAAAGGTGATATTTCATTAATGGTGAACTATTCTGACTATCCTGCATAAAGGACTCACTGGACCTGACCTTAAGCAGCTGTGTCAGGGTTCCCTGTTTACATACATACTATAAAATGAAAACACTTTTACCAAAATCCCAGATCCCCTGCTGACAGATACTGGATAGCAATTTGCCGACTCTCCCAGCAGGGGTCTCTCAGAGCGCCATTACAGACTGAGCAGCCTGTCAGAAATTCCTCCATCTTTATATCTGGCAGAAATATTGTCTGTAAATCCACACTGAGCTGCAGGCTGTTGTGTTTAAATCCTTATTCATTGTCTCTAGCACCCCTAGTCTACTTTAGTGGTTTATCGTTTCAGCAGGCTGACACAGAATTTAATCTAGGGGCAACTTAACAACACTGTGTTTCCTAAGTTGATGTAATTTAGGGAACATAAGGGTTTGTGAGACAGATGAAATGGCAATGCACCCATAGCTGGCTCTTGTAGCACCTCATCGCAGGGGTGATTTTATATCTATATTTTTTTCCAGGTTTCTGTCATTGATAATTCATGTATAAAGATGAATTTTCACTGAAAAACTCTGTTGTCTTTATTGGACTCAGCTATGATGGTTCTTTATAGGAAAATACTTTACTTACTCTGGTGTGGACATGTTGTTGTTTTTTTTGTTTTTATCACACAGAACATGAACAAGAGAATCACACACACACAAAAAAACTACACCAAAAACAAAATATCACATTTGACATTTTCTTCAGTAATCGTGGGAAAACAGCTGTTCAAGTATGCTCTGGTAAATCTGACCTCGGCAAATTCTTCAAATCACCAGCTCTTGCAGATAAATCATGTTCCAAAAATAGTTTTTTCTCTTGGCATGCAAAATGGACACAAGATCTTTCCCCTGTTGTAGTTTATTGAATTTCCTTATTGAAACAATGTCTGAAGTGGAATTTGAGATAGACCCTGCAGCCTTGTTTCTGAGATGATAAACAAGAAATCGTCAAGGATGCATTTCTCAGTGGCCCATTTCTATCTGCCAGGTTTTTTAAATTTATTTAATTTTAGAAGATGATTGCCATGTTGGTAAGCAAGAAAAGAGAACAGATAACTGATGACAGGAACTGTTACAGTAACAGTGCATGTAATAGATTGCCAATGTTACAGATAGCTGATAAAGCAGAGCTATGGGCCTGTTTTCTCTGTAAAGCTGATGAATCTAATGATCTCAGACATACTGTTTATCTAAAAGGCCAAATGGAGACAGAGGAGCAAAGTGCTGAAACTGAGGATACTGTCAGTGATTCAGATAAGTAAATTTTTGTGATAAAAAGTAAAATTTCCAAAGCTTTTGAAAAAACAGGCACATGATGGGCTTCAGGTGTCATTTGAGCACGGATGTTAATTCTTGACCGTGGAGTCTTATGTGTGACAAAATCAACTTAAGGTACACTCACTTGCTTTTTTGAGAACTTAAGCAAAATTGTATCAATAAAAAATTAAGTAATAAACAAATCCTGCCCATTTAATACAACTTGATTTGACTTTAGCAAAAGCCCAAGACAAATGAAGCCAATTAATTTGAAAAACAGAAATGTTTGACTGAGTAAACTACAATAATATAATATAATATAATATAATATAATATAGTGCGATTAAACTGGACAGATGGCATTCCTCACAGATGACTCTTTTCAGCTGCTCTTTGCTGCTCCACCTTCCACTTGAAAATACTAAAAAGTCCAAAGGTGTTCTATAGGTTTCAGGTCAGGGGGCACAGTCTTCACTTTATTCTTCTTTAACAACTCTGTGAGTTTTGTGTGTTTGATCATTGTCATGTTCATTCCTCTCCAGCGAGGCTTCTTGGGACTGGGCAGTCACTATTGTAGTACTTTGAATCATTTATCATTGTAGTGATGTTGCACAGGGGTGTACTCAGTTTTGTTGTATACTGTAGTTCCCGTTAGTGTAAACTACAATTTTGCACCAAAGTCAGTCAGAGATTCAACTTCATTCCCCGTAAACTGTGGTTGTATGATTCACAATAAGCTGGGAAGCCAGTGAGGGATCTTGTCCTTATCACAGCACAAACAGAACAAACCAGTAGGAGTCACTATTGTTGCATTAAAGACATGATCCCTCACTGGCTTCCCACCTATGAACACAGTTGGGTGTGGGCGGCGAAAAGAACTGGGGGGAATTAGCCACTCAAACTGAGAGAAAGAGGAGAAAAAAAACTTATTTTCAAAAGCCACTCTTTTTTTTTTTTTTTTTTTACAAGGGAGTTTAAAGGAGTTTCCCATGGTGTCCCAGAGCCGTTGTTTCAGGAACACAGAATCAGTGACAGCACTGGAAGGCCTTGATAGTCTTCACATGCCAGAGCTACTTGGTGAGCTCTCTTGGTAGCAGATTAAAGGCTCAGCCTGTAATTGATGACTCTGGGTCGAGGTGTACCAGGGATGAGTGATTGGCAAGTGACTGTTCACCTGATAAGGCAAACAAGAGAAGAGGACAGAGACAAGTGTACAACTCCTTCGGCTTTATGGGCTTCAGTAGAGTTTAGAAAGGGAAAATCAGATTTACGACTGTGGTACAATCTTGTTCTGTTTCGTGCAAATGCATTTTCTACCCTGTAGCTGTGGAGGAGTCCCGACTGCCAGCGTCTCGTCACACAGGGCGGGGGGATATCACAGAGCTCTGCAGGTTGTAGACCTAGTTCTCAAACTAGACTTCAGAGACAGTGATGATGAAACAGTGATCTCATGAGAATAATATAGTAATAACAGTATCTCTATCTTGTTCCTGTGAGGTGGTTCTTCTCCTGAGAGTACTTTAATACTAGTCTGAAGAGCATTATTGTTTAATTCTTGTCTTGACTTGTTCAGCTCTAGAATTATCTCTTACAGTGATAACATGGGGGAAATATAATCTCTCAGCTATTGCCAGTAATGTCAATTGAAATATTTATGATGATTTTTTGGCAATGTTTAAATATGTGTTCTTAAAACTCCCTACCCCGAGTGTATCCTTCCCAGCTATTTTGCCCTGCATATTTGGGCTGTGTCGTTACTTGTTTGGACACCACACCAGATGTGGACTGATGCATTTGGAATGACTTGATGAGCAAAAATCACCATTTAATCCAGAATAAATACAATAAATTGTGATCGATGGTCATTCGCTGATTTGAACTAATTTTCTTTTTGTCTTCCTTGCTTAACCACCTACGGCAAAAATTTAACTGGTATTAGCATAACCGTAATCATGTTGACATCCCTTCTTTTCCCTCCTGACACACACCAGGAAACAAAGTGAGGGAAAAAGGTAACCCTGCCAGTTATTTGTTTCCTTCCCATCACTTTCCCCTCCTTCTTTGCTTGTTTCTCTCTTTAAGACCCTCCCTCTCTCCCTCCCTTCCTCCCTCTCCTCTTAGAGCCAGTGTTATCCGAACCAACACACAGTCAACTTCAACTTGAGCGCAGCTGCAGAGCATATCAGGTTTCTGGACTGTGAGAGTCACACACCCCTTACTGAATTACGGTAGAGCAGAGCAGCACAACTGTCCTTCACTGTCCAGGCCAAGAAAGGTGAGTCGACTGAGAGAGAACTGCTAGACGCTCACTCTGCTCTCCTGCGTCTACATTTTGTTTTCCTCTACATTTCTATTTCTTCTTTATCTGCCCGCTTTTCACTTTGACCTCACCTTTTTCCTCCTTACCTTCTCACTCACACCCTTACCTGGACTAATGCCTTGACTAGGAGAAACTGCTCAGACAGCCCAGTATGTACAGTAAATATCCTCATGCTGCTGTGTGTTAGGTTTATTATCCAATGATAGTGTCTTTTAAAAGAAAAAACTGGTAGATGGTTTCTCTGCTTTCAACAGCTTGTTTTAACTGTATGAGAAGTAAGTGTGTTCAGTTGGTCTGAGGCTTTACCCTTGTAAATTTATTTACCCAAGAGAGCTACACCCACTAAAAACAGAGATGTGATGCAGGTATCTCCTGTTTATACAACAGTGTAAACAGCCAGAAGCCAGCTTCACAGGTTATATCAACCCTTTTAATGTGCCATATCATGCTCTCTAAGACTTTTTCCTTGTAACTTTTAAATGTCAGCACCTCCTTAGTCCATGAAGAAAGTCTCTGGATAAGTATAGTATGAAACAGACGCTTAAAGGGCACCACTTATTGTCAGAAACTAAACAGGCGTTGGCTTAACATTTAGATTCCTCTTTTGAAAAATGCCATTGTTAACGTTTCTTCTGTAAAATAGCAGCAGTTTTTCATCATTGCCATTTTGTAAGGAACAGTGCTGTGACCTCCTCCTGTGTGACTCAGTCTGTGGGTTTCTGTGAGTTTGTTCTCCAGTCTCTAATTCTCCTGCCTTGTAAGAGTGTGTCATTGTCTTCTGTCTTTTTGTCTCGTTTCCAGATGCATCAATACAGAGCTTGTGCCATGAAGTGATCACTCTATGAACCTGCTTTCTCCGCCGACTCCTTCCCCACCCGTCTCACCTATAAACATGAGCTTATGTGACAGTATGAGAGGTTGGAGGTGGCGGGGCAGCGCTGGAGGACTCAGGACCCTCGTGGGAGTGATGCTGCTTGGGTTCAGCATGGCCCAGTCTGTCCCTCCTCAGACTGCCTGTGCAGCAGCTGTGACCCCGCGGAGCCTCCCCTTACCTCAGTACCAGGACACGGGAAACAACACCGGCGAGGGCTTTATGGCAGCTCTGGTCCAGTCCTTCCTCCACACAGTCCAGCCTAACCCATTTCCTGGAGGTCAGCATCATCATCACTAATAACCCATCTCGAATCTCTCCTGTCATGTTTGGATGTATAGTAACCCTGTCTATTTACTCAGTCCACTATACTTTGTTCAGGCTCTAGCTCACAGAGCAATCAGGTGCAATTTAAATTACATTGAAATCTTCTGGTTTCCAGCTCTGTGCTGGGCAAAATTTCCCTACAGGGGCAAAAGTAAGCCATCACTTGTGGCCTTTACTCCTGCTCTGTCCTATTAAAACCCATACAAAAAGATGGCAGGGTTGGTAAATCAATAAGTTAATGGGCATTCTTGTATTTCGCTGAGTCAATCATTAACCTTTATGTCCTGCTCTGATGTCTTTAGACCAAGTGTTTCCTGTGACTCAGACTCCAGTCGCACCTGTAGTCTTTTGTCTGGCCCTGTGATGTGTTGTAATTGTTCCGTAAACCCTTCTCTATTACGTACATTACCTTCTGCTTGGTATTGACTTTTGAAAAAAAAACCCCAGACAAACTGACACAAAAAAATGTCAATGACAAAAAATTGACAGTGTTAAGAGGATTTCAAGCGTTAGCCACTTAATGAGGCTTTCACAGAATTGTGTTTCACCTCTGAAACTGTTCATGTTTATTGCGTCAACAGTTGTTTGCACTGACTCTGTCACTCTATGATAAGGCAAATGGCTGGATGTCTTATTGTAAACTGGGGGTTTATGCTTCCCGCAGGTTATAAATGTTAAACAGCCAGTAATAAAGGAGGAGGAGTATTTCTTTCTCAATTACAAGCTAGAAAACCAAAACAAGGATATACACCAAACAGATCCTTCACTCAGCTGATCTGTTGTCTCTCATTTGTGAAGAATTGCTGATCACTGATTTAATCAAGACTGAACTGAACAGACATTTTGTGAAACAATGACATCAATTTTTAGACTCTAAAAACATTTCGTAAATTAAAAAAAAAAATAATAATAATAATGCTGAAATGTCCTCCAATGAATGCTAAGATAATAAGCAAATATCAGCAACTTAACACTCCAGCAGCTCACAGTTTCATGTAGTATTTGTTCAAACCTCACTGTGAGTCAGAGACCCCGCTGGGAGTTTAATAGTAAAAGTAAAGCTTTTTATAACAAACTAAACAGGTTAAAAGGGAAATGTCAAGCAATGAGTTAAAATGCTAATTTCCAGAACATCTTATGCCATGCTGCCATCTGATGTGACACAAGACAGATGGCACAAATAGCTCGCGTGAACAGCACCTGAACAACATGTCTTCCCATTTACCTGCGCCTGTGTTTTTGGACTATTATCCACAACAACATGGTTCAGTGGGAACATAGATGGCATGCTTTGTATTCTATGTTTGTTTTTTTGTGTTTAAAAATCTAATCTCGCCAGAAAGCTATGCTGATTTCCTTGTAACTGCAAGATGCGGGTGTCAGATTTCCACCTTTACAAAGCGAGAGATTAAAATGTTTGTACAGGATAGATTGTCCCATTGGCTGGGCTTTTGCACGTGGATGAGTAGGACAGAAACCGGCACTGGAGGATAGTAATCAGCTCTTTTTGGTCACTAAAAACTTTTGTTTTCTCTCCCACTTCTTTCTAGATCTAATCTTGAAAATAGTCGATAATGTGGATCAAAAGTCGTCAAATCAAGACCTCGTCAAAGAAGTAAGTGAATGATCATGAGTTTTACACACGTCATACTTAGACTACATGGGAAAAAAACGGACACATCCTCCTCAGAGCCCCTTGAGCTGGTAATGTGAGAATGTTGAATGTTGAACCATCTTTGTCAGTGTGTTTACCAGTCGGCTGGAGTTACTGAGGCTCTTTCATGCTCTGTGATTGTGGACTGTTACCAGAGTAAAGTAAAACTACTATTTTAGGTATGATGACGCCACAGAGACCTGCCGCAGTTCCTTGAAAGTGATATTTGTGCCATTTTGAATATTTGTCAAAAATGTATCATTTGTCTGTTTGTGTGTGTATCTTGTGTTCAGGTCCTGGTGTATGAAGTGGGGTTCCTGGTATGCACAGCAATTGGTATCCTGTACATCATTCTGATGCCCATCGTTGGCTTCTTCTTGGCGTGCTGTCGCTGCTGTGGCAACTGTGGTGGGAAGATGTACCAGAAGCAGACGTCCTCCATTCACTGTCGCAGAAGAACTCTCTACTGGGGTGCATTTGTCACCACAGTCATTATCCTGTGAGTGTGTGTGTGTGTGTGTGTGTGCGTGCACACTCGTGTGTGTTTCTGAACAGCATATTGGTGTGTTATCTGAAATTTGCATTGAAAAAAGACAGCTTGAATGTCTGCGTCTCACTTCATGACACATTTAATTGTGGTCTGTGTATGTGTGTGTGTGTGTGTGTGTGTGTGTGTGTGTGTGTGTGTGTGCGTGCATGTTTATAGTGCTGGGAACATTTGCATGTTCAGAAGTAATGAAGCGCTAAATGTGAGTGTGGATCAGAGTCCAGTGAAGCTCAACACGACTCTAGACAACATCCACACCTTCCTCACATCTGTGCCTCAGGTAAGAGAAACCCTCCTGTAGATTTGAAGTGCAAAGTGTGAGTATGGAAATACACAAAGGTCAAAGGTCTGGGACCTCAGTGTGGCAGCATTTATCAATACTGGTTGACCTAATAGCCTACTCTTGATCTTTGTTCTTAAACATTTACTACGTATAGAAAATGCAAATAATCTTGTTAGAGTCTATTCAGGATTAGTCACATTAGCTCTTGCAGAGCCGTCATCAATCTGCTGGGACTCGACAGCTTTTGTGTGAGATACAAACAGACGCCCAGTTCTCCAATCACGACCAGCCCTGTTCTCTGCAGAGCCAATACACTTATCTCAAGATACAACAGAGTGGGAAAATAGAGAAGGAGGAAGAGATAGGGTCGCATTCTGTATGCTGTTCATTTGCAAAAGCTACTATGATTAGCTCATGTAATCAGGCCTTGACACACTGTATATTGCATTTCAACCCATATCTTATGTACCCACTTTGAAATTGTTGAAATTGTTTGTTTTCCCTATCCCTATCTCCAGCAACTTGACTATGTGGTGAACGAGAGCTACAAAACTATACAAGAAGTCACCACAAACCTTGATGGTAAAAAAGGGGAATTATTATCTACAAATAGAGGAACCACTTTTTTTACACTCTAGCCACTGCATCACAGTGTCCGTTCACCTCACGTAATCAACCATCTCCTTGTTCCTCATGAATTAGACATTGGACGTCAGCTGGGAACAGAGATCCAGGAGCAATTCAACCCAACTCTGGGTCCAGCGCTGCACCCAGTTATACGTCTGAACCAAGGTATGATGAGCCTGCGTGCTCGGTCCTGTTTCAGACCCAGCATGTAAATGCCTGTGTGAATATCTGACATGAGATCAGTGATTACGCAGGTGGGGTCCTGCTCATGCGCACACTGTGCAGTTTCACTACATTTAACCTCTTAGCCTGACATTGAAACATTTGATGAAGTGACAGGTGTCTTTTTTTGTGACCAGCTGATTTAATAGTTGTCGCAAAACAAAAATAAAAAATAAAAATTATAATACAAATACAGAAATAACTGTCCCTCATTATGGATGGCTCTCATGCCTACTGGACACAGGCCTTGGGGCTGTAAACCGCATCCTCTGTTTGATCTGACTGTTATTTACATGTCTTATTGGAAAGTAAAAGAGCGCAGTCAAATATGACTTTGTTTATAAGTTAAGTATCATCTGAGTATAATACATGCACTCTCTGTGTCAGAAAGCTTTGCTGAGGGTTCACACAGCCGATCGTCACATACAACATGAACAAAACACTTAGTCCAGCATAAAATCATCATTTTTTTGGCTGCAGGAATTCTGCCTTTTCTATGATGACAAATCGAGTGTTGATACATCCCTTACCAACATATTTCTTCACACTGCACGTCGACTCTCTGAGTAACACAGACCAGGCTTAGCAGAGCAATGTGGAAAGTATTTGTAATGATTTACAAAAAGCAGCTGGATAACAATGATTTCCCTTTTTTTCTTTCTCTTATAGTGCTTTTTCTTTAGAACTTCCATTTGGCTTTTTAAGCTGCTTTTCATTTCAAAGCTGCGTAGAATCAAAAAGGAGAGATGAATGTCTTTAAATCATTATTATTATTATTATTTTAAAAAAATGTGCATACACTGACTAGTATTTATGTGTTTTTCATTTGTACGCGTAGAGACTAGGAACACCAGTGTTCAACTTGACAAACTGAACTCGTCTTTGGCCGAGCTGCAGTCCAGCGTCAATTCCCTCCAGGCCAATGTTACCATTGTTAGAAGTCGCATCAATGAGACTTTGTCCCACCCAGACTGTACTGGCTGTAACGTCCTAAAGTCAGAGCTACAGGCGCTAACACTGGACACCTCCATCACTGTAAGTACTGGTCTTAGTGTGTCACCTAGTGTTTAGTGTGGGATGTTTTCTTCTTGAATGGATGAACTGAACAACACAGGCAATTTAAATGAGGTTGGTCCGAACATCCACTCCTGTCAGCTTAAGAGTTTTATGCTAGAAAAGTACAGACTAAGATTCAGCCCTGTTACTGGGTTTGACAAGACATTTACATGAATAAACAGGAAGTGTCATTTATGCAGTCAAACTGTCTCTGACGCAGGCTGAGATGATGATAATACCTCTACGTTTTTGGCTTTGTCTGAACAGCTGATTTGTCCTCCTCCCATCTGTCTCTATTCCTCCTACACTCCTCTGTCACTCTCTATGACACATGCAGACTCTCCTCTCCTCTCCTCTCCTCTCCTCTCATCTCATCTCCTCTCATCTCCTCTCATCTCCTCTCCTCTCCTCTTTACAATATATGATCGTCATCATGAAAACTAGATTAAGACATGCTTTCAAATCCATGTGTAATCGTGGCTTCCTGGCTCTTGGGTAACATCAGTGAGAAAACTTGCCAGGGCTTGTTTTGCTGAAAGTCTGCTGCCTCCTTCTGTTGGTTGAAGGTATTACATGTGATTGTTGACAGATTCCCAGCCTGAATGAGCTCCAGTCTGCGGTGGATGAAATCATCAAAATTAACCTCACAGCGAAAATTGAGGAGGTCAGTGACTTTTTCCCACTGAAAACATGGTCATAAAATCAGCAGTTTTTATAACATAATGCCTTCTTTGTTAACATTTCAGAATTTGTGGATAGATAGAGGGAAGAGTGTGAAGAATCTTTAACCAAAGATAATGGAATAAAATGTGACTAATGGATTTTTACCAAACTAAAAGTGCAATGAATGTGTGTACAAAGAGATGAATCACTTTTTTTTTTCCAAATGTAGACAAACAAACATTATATTTCAAAACTATTTATGTGCTTTTATGAAAATGAACGTACTACTTCTTCAATTCAGGTGGAGAATTATTTCAACAGCATCCCCCAGAGGGTGGTCAATGACACCAAGGATGTTGTTCAAAGTGAGTGAGCACATTCACAGTCACAAACTTTAGGCCTTTACTTCCCTGTCAAATATTAGTGTCTTAAATCACTTATTTAGTTGAATTAAGGTGAATTTTAAGATACATGTTTGTGTGTGTCTTTCTCTCTGTGTTTTTTAGATAGCAAGCAGCAGTTGGGTGACATAAAAACCCAGATCTCACAGGTTACCAGTAACATCCCTGCTCTGACCAACGTGTCGGGGGCTCTGAACCAGGCGCGTGTAGAAATCAGCAAAGTCACCCCAGAGGTTGAGAGAGCCGAGAATATTAGGTACAACGCCCGGGAGTGCAAACGCGCATGATCAGTGGAAGAAGAACCCACAAATCGCTCATTGTGTGCTTATTCTTCTCCAGGTGGGCGCTGTGTGTTGCCCTGTGCTGTGTCGTGCTCCTGGTGGTGGTGTGTAACCTCCTGGGTCTGGTCCTGGGCCCTGCGGGTCTGAAACCCAAAGCAGACCCCACAAAGCGCTCCTGCACGGCGGATTGTGGCGGCACCTTCCTCATGATGTGAGTAGTGGCTGATAATGTCGGTTTCATCGTTTAAGTCACATATAACCGTTCAAACTGTTTCACCTCCTGAGCGCTTGTTTGACCTCTTGACCTTTGGATGTGGCTGCAGGGGTGCAGGCGTCAGCTTCTTCTTCTCGTGGCTGTTCATGATAGTGGTGCTGCTGCTGTTCCTGCTGGGCGGGAACGTTTACACTCTGCTCTGTCGGCCCTGGAACAACGGACAGCTGCTGAAGGTACGTACACGTACACCTGCACATACACACGTAGTAACAGGGCAAAGATGCTACAGATGCCGCGTGTTGATATTATCTCCCCTTCTCTCCACAGTTCATTGATTCTCCAGGTTTAATTCCAGGGATAGATCAGACTGTAGGATTTAATAACATCAGTTTCTCTGATGTCTATAGGTATGTAATGCCAGTTCCCCTCTCACACCGGAACACATGTGCATGCATACACAGTTAGACATGATTTTTTCCCCCAGGTCTAAAGTCAGTGGGGATGTACAAATCACTTAGACTTGATTTCACTTGATGTTAATGTTTCCAGAGACTGTGAGGATAACAAGTCTCTGTGGACAACACTCCACTTGTATGAAGAAATAGACCTCGGAGAATTCCTCAATGTATCTAAGGTGAGTTTCCTTGCCGTCCTTTTGGACTGTTCAAAATAAATATAGCTCAAACTTCTGATAAATTTATGTGCATTAAAACCTATATCAGCATTTATAATGTTTGTTTTTATCTCTCTCCCCCCCCCCCCCTGTCGCTCACACACACACACACACACACACACACACACACACTTACACATGCACGCAGTACACAGAGCAGATCCGGCAGCAGTTTGAGGACACAGACATCACTCTGTCCGCCATCACCCTCCTAAGCCCTGAAGTTAAAAAACAACTCAGCAGCTTCTCCGCCGACGCTCAAAGTTTTGACTCCACTGCTATCACACAGCAGGTGGGCGTTATTCACGGGGGTTACACGTATCTTTGTATGTGCTTTCATGTGTAACATGTAATTGTGACATAGTGCGTGTCTCTTTCAGGTGAACAACATTTCCAGGATCAATCTGAATACAACAGCTGATAAACTTGATAACTTAGCTTCCGTTCAAGTGAGTGACAAGGCGTAATCATACATAAAACATTACCCCCTGTTAATATTTTACCCTTTACTCTGCTTTTCTGCACTAAAAACACGTCACATGAGTCCTAAATCACTTTTTTTTCTTGTGTCCATTTTCTACCTTCTAACCAACCATTTGCTCGTTTCAAGACAAACACTGATATTCAAAAAGATCTCCAAACACAAGCCAGTGACCTGAGGCAGATCCAGACCAGCATAGACACAACCATCATCCCACAAGTGGTGAGTAGCTTTCCTTATCTGGGCTGCCATCTCTCCCTATTATCCTCATTCTGGATCTCCTTTTTTTTTCCATGTCGGCCACTCCTCTGAATTTAAACATACTGCGTTTGCCCTCAGGAAAACCTGAACTCGACCATCAAGGGCCTTCAATCCAACATAGAAAAAATCAATGTGAGTACACCGACCAACACCTGGAACTGCCAGGAGTAGAGATCACTCTCCTCTCCTCCCCTCTCTTTCTTTCCGTGGCTCATTCTCGCCTCTCTGGCTCTCCCAGGGAACAGTGGGGGAGGTGCTGAGCAACGTGGGAGCAGCACAAGACTTCCTCAACACAAATACGACACAGATCGTCAAGACCGTGAGTAGAGCCACGAGTCACATGAGTTAGAAGAAAAAGTGCTGCATGTGGTCTGCTAATGCCTGTGGTGGGTCAGTCATTTAACCAGAGGGGGGCGAGGGGGAGGAGATGCTCGGGTGTGCTGCTTGGAGCTGAAACAATGTGGCTGTTGGGTTTCCCATCCACAGGGAATGAGTAACATTTAGTGTCCAGTCGTATTTGTCTTTAATTATAGTTCTACATGCATTTTAACAATTTATTACTGGTTGCTTTGAAGTGAAGTACTGAGTGGTCTGGGATCACACTATTTTATTTCTGATATCCATTTTATCTTATGTAAACTTTGCTAACAAAAAGAAAGAAAACTGAAAGCAATTCTTGTGTATCTGAATAATCTTCCAAGGTTTAAAGTGCAAATACTTCTCTGACTGTTTGGTATCATGTGAACCCTAAGGTCATCTCATAGGGGCGTGCTAACTATCCTCAGAGTCCAAACTAAACATGTAGAAACAACATTTACTTGCTATGTACCTCAGAGCTCCAACAAATAAACAAACTGGAACAAACTTGCCCTGAATTGAACGACCTTTAAGTCCACTGCCTGTGGTTGAAACTTCAGCATCCACTTTAATCATCCACATTGCACTTACATCTCAACCTGTCAAATAATCATCAGTCATCTTCTATTAAAAAGATTAGGTTGGCATTGTTCTATATTAACCATGTGCTAGTCCATCTTTCACGGACTCCCCTGCTCTGTCTGTGGCGCTCAGCCCTAGGCTCTTTCGTATCTGCTGAAGACAGAAAATCTTTAGAAACATCTCAACATCTCAGTCATTTTTTGAAAAACAGACTCAGTAATTTCCTAAAAAAAAGGGGCCACTTTGGTGCATTTTGTGGAGGCTATTTTAAACTGTGGAGTAATACGTGTTTGTTGCTCTAGTGAGTATTTACAGCACCAGCAGGACTCAAAATAAACCGGTGTTCATTGTAACGATGGAACGTGTCGCCCAGTGCAGCGTGTGTGGCTCATTATGTTTGTGAGGTCAGTGCCACAGAGGGATAAGCTCTATCAAGCCTTACATGCACGGGAAACACAATAACGTATTGACAATGAAACATGGAATATCTCCACTTGACCTTTAATGTTGTTAATGCATTGTGCAAAGAACTGAGTAAGACGTGCATTATATAAAATAAACTTTCCTTTCCTTGTCTAATCATAAAGCTATGGCAGTTATTTACAGGTCACTTCAGAGGATTTACCCAGAATTCCACACTGCTGAGATGGCCAGGCGTTCCACTGATTCCTCATGACTTCCCAGTCTAAAGCAGGGAGAAAATGTGTGGAATTTACTCTCTCTCTCTCTCTCTCTCTCTCTCTCTCTCTGGATCCTAGGAGAGCAGAAAGTTTTTGGACTGTCAGCTGGGTTACTTCGTTGCTTACGCTGAGTGGGCCAACCTCACGGTAAAGTCTGTTCAAATCTGTGCCTGCACATGTTAAAATACACGCCCGTTTGTGTTTGTGTTTGTGTGCACATGAGTTCACCTTGTGCACTGTGTGCATTCTCCCTCAGATCACACAGCAGGTGGGCCGCTGTCGGCCGGTGGCGGGCGCGTTGGACTCGCTGGAGACCATTGTCTGCTTACGCGTGGTGGAGTCTCTGGTGAGTATCAGATGTTGTCAGCTTCGCCCACGCCTGCACAACTCAACCCTTAACTGACCAATACACTGGAGAATGGGAACCAATTTTTAGGAATGGCAATTTTTGTCAAAAGGTTATAAATCACTTTCCTGTTTATCGGTCCTGCATTGTTTTTTGCTCTCTCTCTCTTTAGAATGCGTTCTGGTTCAGTCTGGGCTGGTGTTTGATCTTCTTCATCCCCAGCATCATCTTTTCCATCAAGCTTGCCAAATACTACAGGAAAATGAAGCACTCTGATGTCTTTGAGTAAGTAGCACCAAAAAAAAAAAAAAAACAGAAACAAAAACACAAACATGCATCTACTAGAGCTATTTACACATACATATCTGTGTGTGCTCATGTTGTGCAAGAATCATATGACTGATTCATTTGACTGTGCTGACCTGCATTTGACCGCTGTTAGTGTCTCTGTTTCCAGAGACCACATAATTATGAACCACATCCCACGGGCCCAGATGAAAATCACCTGAGAGGGCGGCATATGTGCGGCACAGCTTTAAGAGACTGCAGACATGACTGTGGCATCCCTTGACTAAATCAAAGCACATGGTGCACTCCTGCACACATTGGGCACATTGTCGCTCTGGTGCAAAGTGTCAAACTGAAAAACTGTGTGGGTTACCTATTTCACCTTACCTTACTTTTTTATATTCCAGTTTTCACCAAGCAAAGCCACTCATCGAGCGACCTCAGTGGTCATACAATAGATTTCATACACCATACTCAACATCTGTGAATTGACCTCAGGTGGACGCAGGGCATAAGGGAATCTTCAGGGACCTTTTTTTTTTTTCTCATCATTTTAAATAAAGATTTAAAGCGTTTATGTTATTCATTGTTTTACATACATGTTTCGTATGTATTTAATATGTATGAACTGACCCTGCTGCTGGATTCAGAGAATATATATTTCATATTTTATACTGAGAAGCTGATTTTTTGACCACATTTATATATTTATATATAGTCACGTCGGTGGCAGTGCTGTCAGAGAACGTAGCAGTGTGTTACTGTGCCAACAGGATTTTGTGATGTGCCAGTCTCTGTCTCTCGTTTGGCAACCTTTTAACTTAATTCTCACACTCTTGCTGCTATGTTGGAAATAAAAGCACAATTTCCTGTATGAATCATTAAATGAATACACTTTCTTTTGTGACTGAAACTATCAGTCACCATATGATTTCTATTTAATGCTACAACGACACTTAAGGTTTTTCATTACTATTTTGTTTGCAAATGTGTTTTTGTAAATTTAGATTTTGACTGATGAGATTCTTGATTTAATAATAATGATTTACTTCTTTTTTTACTTTGCACTACTTTGTACTCAGTAGTAGATTGTGTTTTAGCTCTCTGATACACTGCACTTTATGTGGTTTATTCATTTCTGCAAGCTGTTGTGAAAACTACTGTGAGTAAAAAAGGTTACCGACTGACAAATGCACCGAGTCTGCTGTGCATTTTTCTACCTTTTAACCGCAACGTGAGTGGAATCTCAGATATCACTGTGTCTGTTCTCCACACAAACCATGAAAGTGCTTTTCACAGTGCACATTTGTGGTCCAGCAACGCCCTACCTTCGCCTCACTGCAGCGATATGTCAGAAACTAAACTTGCACTCCTATAGTTCATGTGTGACAGTGACATAAAGACTCAGTTGATGGTGATTTCATGGTAGGTCAGTTATCTTAGACTCTTATGTGGCTTGTTTACACTGTTCGCAAACAGTTAGTAGCTACTACATAAAGTGCATATTTGCACAGATTACACAGACACACTTCTTTTATAACGTTTTGAATTACTGTGTAGGACAGAGATGGTGTGTCTTTGTGATCATAATCACTGTCATGCATCTCTGCTACTGCAACAGTTCATGCAAACAGATCAAGAACTCAACTCGAAGTTTCCATCTCATGTGACACTGTGTGGATGAATTAACAGAGGAAAACTGTGTCAACAGTTGTAAAGATTTTATTTTTCTTTTATTTGAAGTTTTCACAATAACATGAACCTCACTTTCATTTCTTGATGAGATAATAACCAACAGACATACACTGTGGTGTCTTTTTTAGGGAGGGTACAGTTGTAAACTTCATTAACTGGAAGGTATAAAAGGTAATTGTGACTTATGTGAAAACTCTGGCCTCAGAACCCCATTACTGTAAGTGATGAAAATGTTCTTTAATGAAGTTAACCCTGTACTGATGCATTCATTCATTCAGCTCTGTAGGATCCAGTCAGCTGTTCAGGGACAAACAGAGGACAGAGCAGCAGGCAGGGCCAGCCCCCTTCTGTGCAGATATATAATTGTTTACATGATGCCTACATCCATTATTAGAACAAGTGAATCGATGGCGTTTCTGCACCGGCGTCACACAAAAACCTTGTAATACGAGAAAGGCTGTACAAAGAGAAACCCAATCTGAAGGGGGAAAAAAAGTGAGACACAAAGAGAAAGAGAAAGAAAGAGGGAGGGAAACAGAGGGATGTTAGATATCAGGTTATGACGGTTTTTGCAGCGCTGTTTTGTTGCCCTTCGGGAAGACTGGGAAGCCTGGGAAGACTCTTATTACCTTCTGCCTCTAACACTGAATATACAGGACTTGCTACCCACTGCTTCCCACTCCTACACTTATTCCGCTCCTGTGATTATACCCTCACATCCCCATGTGCAACCTGCCTATTTGCTGTGAGATCCAGCAGCCACACACATGGACTCAGTGTCTTGGTTGTTATCAGTTAGTTAGTTGAGAGGCAACTTGCTTGATAGGTAATGACTGAACAGTCCTCTTATAGGCTCTAACTATGGAAACATTTGAGTACATTTACACATTCAAATCCTTCCACTAGATCACACACACACACACACACACACACACACACACACACACACACACACACACACACCAGACTGCAGCTGTAAGTGGATTTGTCCATGGAGGGGACATGGTGAAACTTAGGAACGGGCGCAGTGGATCATATGAATGAATAACTGTGTGTAAGCCTTTAGATCAGTAGACTGTTCCTCTGTTACCTAAACCTAAAAGACTTTACTGGCCTCAACATTTTAGTTGTTTGAGATTGAATAGTGTGTGTTGTTATGCAGCAGTGTGAATAGAGTGTGCTGACATAGCTGAACGAACCAGATCTACAACAATCTGTGGGAACAGGGACTTGGCAGATAGGTGACAATGAATGACACGCTTGGAAATGCCATTAAAAGGAGGTGGCTGACATATAAATGTATTGTAAGGTCACCACTGTCGCTTCATATTTTTTATGCAGGGATGTTATGAAGAATTGGATTACACTGAACAAATAAAGAACAAGTAATTTGCAAATAGAAGTTTTATCTTCAGTTTAATAGCATACAGCATCTGTTCATAAATACTTGTACACGTTTTCTTTTTTTTTCTTTTTTTAAAATACAGGATCATGAAAAGTAACAATGTGAAACTTTGTCAGACATTCCAAGAGGAACTGTTTGGTAACAGAAAACAGGCACAGTTTAAGTTTAAGGCAAATTAATATTTAACATCTGAACAACCATAACACTGGGCTGTGTGGCATGTGTGGGGAAGTCAGGGAGTTCCCAGTTACTCTCAGATAGGCTGACACATGTCTGGTACACTGACCTGAAATCAGTCGCACAGATATTGTCATGCTTGTTCAAGTGTTCAGAGTTTGGAATGATACTATTACTACACCAGTAATACACCAGTTGGACCGGAGTAAGATATCAACAGGTTTTATGGTGAAATCAGATACAGCTTTTGACTGTAGAGGCCAAGATAGAGAGCTGGTTATAGTACAAAAAAAAAAAAAAAACCTACAACTCAGAGAAAAAAATCTTCTCATCTACCTCCAGCTCGTTCTCTCGAACATGGCTGAAGCTGAGGAGATGCAGCAGAAATGTAACACTGCCCTGTAAATGAAGAGCAGCAGTGTGAAAGGCACTCTGATTGTTCTGCAGCGTTTTGGAGTCTGATTGTCACTCAACACTTAAGAGATGTCACTGTCAGTATCTCACCCATGTGAAGCCTATAGGGTCATCATTTCAGTAGTCTGCCAAATACTGTTACAAAATAAACACTTTGTTTTGGAGGGCTCCATGCAACACTTTCTATGACTAAAACAAGCCACAGACTGCTCAAAGGCATCAGAAGACAACAGGTACTTAAATATACTTTTCTTTACAACACTTAATCAGAAAACATTCAGTTCAATGGATGCATCAAAAGCACGGTACAAACAATACTGACTGGGGTGATCTAAAAGTGCAATCAGTTTCAGAGCATGGAGAAAAATATCAGGAGCAAGACAGAGGGCCTAACATCTCTAATAACATTACCCTCACTGGGTCCATGAAGGAGGACGTACATGACCTTATGCAAGCAGCAGGGCGCCTGTGTTAGTCACAACGTGCCCAACCCACACATGAATCCTAACAGAATTACCCCCAAAATTGAATTTAAAGTCGAACTGTGAGTCAGTTTCACTGGCTATTCTGCCTGGAATGTCCTGTGAGTTGGACTGCGACAGAGCAGAGCGGACAAGATGGAGTCCGGAGAGAAAAATGGACGACAGGAATGGCGGAAAAAAAAACAAAAAAACACAGAGAGACGCAGAAGCTGGACAGATCGAAGGTTTTGGGGTGTTTTGTTCACTGATGGTTGAGCCCATCGAAACCAGGTTAATGTTTAAGGATTTATAATGTGTTAAATACAATACTAGAAGTAAGTACCCCCCCCTCCCCTCTCAACCATACCTCACTTAAAACAAACATTCAAACACAAAGGCTAGCTTGTCTGGATAAAACTCAGTAGATTACCCACTGCAGGAATGCACTTTGTCATCAACAAGTGAAAGGCAGCTATACTTGGCTACAATTAACAGACATCAGCTACTTAAGACAGCCAGTGTTGTACACACAGGTACACACACTAAAATGGGAGTTAGTGGCTTTGTTTGTTTGTCTGAGCAGTTAAACACTTAACACAATATATTAATATTATTTATTAATGACATTCTGATGAAGGCTAAACTTATTCAATGCAAGACTATGCAATACCTCTCTCATCCACGTGCAGTTAAGGCTTAAGAGATAAATAACATTGCAGATACAGTATGTACACATTAAGACTTTAAAATTACCTGCAGTATTTACACCAGTAAGATCTTCAGTAGTCATTTCATTGTTTCTAGATGTCATACTTCATCTGAAATTACCAATCTGTTTAAAAACACTATCAAATAACTGCATTACACTGATGATACCTGTAACATACTGATGTTACTATGTTTTAATTTGATTGTCAGCACAGTGATATTTTCTTCTCCATTGTAAGCTTGCTTAGTTCGTTTTTATGTAAATCAGAATGGGTTTGCAGGTAGTGCCACCCTGGCCCTTTGCACAGTTGTGTGTGTGGACGACTGCTGTTCAGGTGTTTCTGCGAGAAGAGCCGGGGAGATGTTGTTGCCCAGAGCAGAGTCTGTGCTGGGCTGCTCTGCAGGCTGACGAGGAGGTGCTGGAGGGGGAAACACCGGGGACTGGAGGATGTCAGCGTAGCGCTGGCTGGGCTTGGTCTCCCGCTGAAGGACTTTTCTCAGCAGAGGTTTCAACAGCCCGATGGTCAACTGGCTGCTGTGGGGGTCTGCAAAAGGAGCAGGGGATGAGGAGGTTGTAGTTGACATGGAGAATGAGGAGGAGGAGGAGGAAGAAGAGGAGGAGGAAGAGGGGCTGTTAGGAGAGGGGAGGCTTTTCAGCACCAAGTTGAGTATGGTGGTGACAGAGAGGTCCTCAGGGCACAGAGTCCACAATAGGTCCAAATATGGGTCCAGATCTCTGTGGTGGGCCACCTCACACAGGAGAGTAGTGAAAATCTCCTTGTTGAGCAGGGGACTCTGTTTGCAGAACTTCTGGGCCACCTGGGTGACCCGCTCCCACTCCTGTTTGGCCATGAGGACCCTCATCGCCTGCAGGATGGCATTAGGCCGCCCGCTGACCAGCAGCAGCTCAACCTCCAAGTCCTGGTGTTGGTCTCTGTCTAGGCCCAGGCTGGACAAGACGCACAGAGCTCGTTTGTAGAGCGGCACATTGTTCTCCCCGCCCTCCCCACCTCTCCCACTGGAGAAGCTCCAGGAGGAAGATGCCAGACTCAGGCCCAGACCGGCTGAGCCCTGCTGCTGCTGGGCCGCCTCGAGGAACCTGGGCAGCCAGCTGGGCTGGAAGTGGAAAACTGAGTGGCAGAGGAGTTCAAACACAGGCAAGGCAGCTGGCAAATTGGAGCTTGGAGATTTGGCTTTACAGTTGGCAAAGTGATCACCGTTGAGGCTGGGAAGGCATTTTGGCCCCCCGTTTGCGAATCGGAGGGAGGCCGGGTTGCTGGAGGTTGAAGCAGGACTGAGGACAGTTTTCCACACATCTGGGGGCGCCTTGCTCGACAGAGAGCCCTCACCGTTGTAGTGTAGCTGGAGGGCAGCCTGCGCCGCTCTCCACGCCTGGCAAGGGAAGATGCTGAAGATGGAGTTGAGGTAAAGCAGAGTCTCTTTGTCCAGCTCTGAGGATGACAGCAGTCTGGCTACTTCTTTTTCAACAAGACTTTCACACACTACCTCCACCTCTTTAACACTTCCCCTCACTAAACTCCCCTTCACATCCTCCAGAGCGACCAGAGCCTTCAGCTCGGCCTCCAGAGAGCCCATTAGCTTGTCTTGCCCCGCCATACATCCACCGCCCCCATTCTGGGACAGCTCTGCTCCCTTCTGCTTCGGCCCTGCACTGAAGTAGTTCCTGAGGATGGAGGCTAAAGAGATGGGAGCCTGGAACCTACCTCCTTTCTTCAGTGTGTCCACGGTGAGCTGGGTGCTGCTCAGGCTCCTCTGCTGGTAGTATTTACAGGCCTCCTCAAAGACAGCCTCTACCAGGAGGCCTCCAGGATGAATACCCTCCACTGTACTGAAACCAGAGGGCTTCATCTTAGAGTTACAATCTCTGGAGTCTGTCTCCTTGTTCACGACCACGAAAAGTCCGGTTTCTGAGAGCAGGTGAGGTGTACGTCTTTCAGCTCGGTTTGTATATAATAACCCCTCTCTCTCCAGCACAATCTTTTCCAACTCCCTGCCACAGTTCACATCTACCACATGCAGGTTTTGCCCCACCAGCAGCGCCAGGGTGTCCTGGTACATGCAGAGGCTAGTGTGAGTACCGTATTTTACCAAGCAGTTGTCTGCCTGTTTGAATACCTGTCGCAGCATCCCATCTTTCTGCAGGAGACACAGCCAGCCTGTGCTAAGCAGCAGCAGCAGGCCTCCACAGCCTGTAGGAGAGAAGTTGTAGATCTCAGGTGGCTCAAGAGTCGATAAATATCCCAAAGAGTCAGTCACCAACCTCTTAAAGTCGGACTCTTTAGCTGAAAACTTTTTTAGGGGAGTGTTTTTACATGTGGTGCTGATCCTGAAGGAGTCATGGCGAGGGGACCAGGAGAGGAAGAATTTGGAAATGCTCAACAGTGGCTTCACTTTCAAGTCAGGAAGAAGATGCACATATTCCCCTGAGCTGACCACAGTGAATTTAGGATTGTTGTGGAGGGCGATTTTCACCCCCCCCAGGCTGACGACCCCCTCCTCCACATCAAAGTCACGTCTGCAAACACAGTATCTCAGCTTATTCCTCGTAGAGCTGAGAGCAGGGGAGCTTTCTGAGGGTGGCCTCTCCTCACACCAGATGATAAGATTGGAGCAAGCACACACAGATACCACTCTGGCCCGGGGACTGTTGCACAAGTCTGATGTTTGCAGGAGATGCCAGCCAGCTTTGCACTCCTGGAATTTCCAAAACTCAGCTTTTCCATTCTCATACACCACTGCCACGGCTGCTGTGTCTCTCTTGCTGCCGCTGTTATTATCATTATGGTCCAAATATAAAATATCCACAATGGGCACGGGTCGTGTCGACCACAAATCCAGCTTCTTATGGTTCTGGACCAGCTGGCCTCTTTCATACTTGTCAAAAGTCACAAGACCGGCTTTAGGCTTGCGGAGGATGACATGGATGTGACGACCATCTGGGCTCAGGCGGACGTCTGACAGACTGTTATTAGTCAGCTGAAGAATGTCAGTTAGCTCTTTACTGCCAGTATAGTCCCCGAAATCTGACAGTTTCTCCAACCGCGCCATAACTCCCCGTTTGTTATTTACTTGCCACAGCGTATCAACTAGCCTGTTAGCTTGTTGTACGGCACACAAATCTGACCTGCGGAGAAGCTAACTGAACGGCATCTCTTTAGGTCCGGAGAGCAGCTTCATCCCGTTGTTAAAGTCCGTGGGGAAGGATACATCCACCGACAGCCTTCGACCACGGCAAGCCCATGTCGACAGACGACAACGGAGCTAAACCGTTAGCTGACAATAACCGCTGAATACGTTTTTTAAACCCCGAATCGAGAAAGGCACTGTAGTCAATCCGACGCTATGTGAGCACTGCCCTGACATCACGGGATTGTTAATTTCCGGATACCGAGCATGTTTAGCATAAGAGGAGGAGCGGAACGACGACATGGAGGCTAACGAAGATCTGTCTACAGGCAGAGAGAAGAGTAACTGCTCCTGCACGAAGGTCTTCAGTCAGCTGTTCAGTCCCGATGGCAACGGCTGTAGCTGGTAGGTCGAAGTCAACTAAAGTTAAACATCTTAACATCTTTGCTTTGAAAACATAAATAACTTCATCATATTACGTTATATATCCTTTTCCCCAAATATGTATGACTTTATCGTTGTCTCTCTGGTTGTGGTGACTTAGCAGCATGCTTGTAGTTGTTGTTGTTTCAACCACCTGTAGCTCTTCAATATATGTTTCATGGCAAAATGGAGTCTAGAGCCGACCTATCCCATGTGGTCATGAATTACATTTTCAGTCAGTTCATTGTGTTGTTTGCTATTGTTTTGAGCCACAAATAATTTGGTCTGCCCTGCTTTGACTAGTTAATGATTTGCCATCTATAGAATGAGGTATTTCCCCATCAGCTGACAAACAGTGAAAAAACTTTATCTTGATCAAGATACTGAGCTGCTTTCAGATCCACCTCGACCTCTGGCCTTTTAACAGACAGTGCAAACAAAAAGGGGTATTCCTTTGGGAATCAATAAAATTGCCAAAGTTCCTCATGTTGCTGGAGGATAATCCAAAAGAAACATAGTTAAGAATCTGCAGTGGTGCTGGCAATATTTGGCTGAAAACAGCTTCAAAGTTGCAGCAGGTGAGATGAAAACAACATCTAGATAAACACAAAAGAGGAACTGTGCAAATTTCCTTGTCTGCTTTGACAGCACTTTTTAAAAAAGTATATTTAACCGATTTTACTTTCAAGACCTACAGGCTAGAATCTACCTTTACTGGCACGAAATGAAACTGTGAAAAGTACGTATGAGAAACGGTTCCAGTACGTCCTTGTTCATTTTGTCAGGAGGCTGTGAAAAGAGTGGCTGCTCGATAATAACCTCAGCTGGGTTAATACCAACCTGAGAAACTGACTCCCTTTAATCAGCTCCTGGAATAGGAGCCATCCGGCTTCACACAACAGATGTGGTTGCAGGAGGATTTGAGAAGTGATGTTGGTCAGGCTTAGATGAGTCTGTAGAGGACAGCCTGGTGGGCGTCTCAGGGGCCAACTAACATATCACACAGAGGTAAAAAGAAAACAAAAAATAAAATCATTTTTGTGCTGAAGGAAAAGAGCATTTATCATAGCGGGGATGAAAGGCTTAGTGGTGACTCAGTGTAAGGAAATGTCTGCCTGCTGTGAGGGCCATATTTATTACTCCAATAAACTTTCATGGCAACTTTCAATTCAGCCCACACTGTGTCACTGCACTGACATTTAGATCCTCAGATTCAGACAAAGCATTGGTTGGCAATGGCACACACCAGTTAGAAAAATCTATATAACATTTTTTTTTTTTTTTGATATTTACTCTTGGCACCGTGTTGAGGCTAACTCAAACAAATCTGAGAAGGTGCCAATTAAACTTCCTTTCCTTTTATAGATAGTACAACCAGAACTAAAAGTTGTGTGTTTGACTTTTTGTCTCTCCATTGATGAGAATGTTCTCCACACAGCCCTTTTCTTGGGGGGGGTCTGTTATACATAGCTATGAATGAAAGCTTTTAATCTCACTGCTGTGATTGAAAAACCACCAGTGAAGAAGTGTTTGATACTATTAAGTGAATTAGCACACAAGCTTGTGATACCAATAACCTAATCAAATCATGATGTCAGCTCCACTGTCATTGTCACACAAGGGTTTTTTTGTCTTGGTCGCATGTTTTAACTTTATATTTTGACAAATTTGACTTTACGCTTTCTTTAATGTGGTCTGCTGAATTTAGATAACTGTATCTGAATTTTTTGCATTTGCATTCATATCCAGGAGGTGGCAGTATTGAGCTTCAATCGCTGCATGTGGGTGGTTTTGAGAGCTCAATGTACAAATATAAATGAATGAAAATATCCGAGAAGAGCCCACTGGGGTAGAGTTCAATATGGATGATGTTTTTTTTCTTCATAATTTCCCATTTTCCCTTTTAAGCTGAACGCACATATGCGTTGAATCCGAAGCACTACGCACAACACTCGCTGTGTTTTTCAATGAATATCACATGGCTATGCAGATGCAGCATCACAAGGCTGCTGTCTCCTCTCACCCACAGTTAACTGGACTTGCCCATTAAAACTCATGACTTTTATTGTGTCTGCTTTACCTCGCTGCCTCTGGACTGTTCATGCTTTTCCAGTAAAATCCACAGTCATCCTGTGGTTGTGGCTGCGTGCGTCCACTGAGAGCTGAGGTGCCTTGAGTAGTTTTTCCACCTACGTTTTAGGACTCAAAGTAAAGATTTTCTGCTCATCAAAGCTGCATCTTCAGCCCTTTTTCTTCAGATTCACATGTTGATTCTACTTTTCTGTTACTGTCTGGAAGTAGGAGGTCGCTTGTCTGGTTTTACTTGCAAGTTCTTTTAAACTTTCTCTGACCTAACCGGCTTGAGCAAAAAGATGAATAGGTTTCCTTGAAGTCTCTCTTTCAAACCTGCTGCTTTTCTTGCTTTCAGCTTTCATATATTTATTTGGGCTGTCTGTATTATTGTGCCACAAAACACGTTAACGCAGGAAGGTGTATGTGTGTCCATGTATTTAAGTCCTATTATGTCTTTTTGCCATTACTGATAAAGTATATGGATGCAGTATGTTATTCAAACAGTAGATTCGAGCCCTGCTGCCTCCAGACAGGCTTGCCTTGGACAGAAAACACCCTCTATTAGAGAGTGTGTTTAGTCTGCTGTGCCTGTAGACAGGAAGATAAAGTGCTTGTCTGGAGACTAGAGGGGGTTGGAGGCAGGGGAGATTTCCTTTTTGAGTTGCATGGTGTTGAAAAGAAAACCAATGGCTGCGAAAATTTTCACTGCTCGGGGTAAAGAAGATGGGTAGGCTGTCAACTCCGCAGCCCCTCAGGATAGAATCATTTTAATTTGAGCACAATTTAGAAGAAAGAAATGTCTGTGCAATCAAAGTGTGCGAGCAAGGGGAGATGTTTCTCAGTCTGTTTTTTGGCGTTTGAGTGAGATGCTACTTCTCTGTTATCTGTGTGTCAAATGAAAGTTGCAGCTGCCTGTCAGCCTCCTGTCTCCTGCGAGAACAGGCAGATATTACTGTCAGTTTGCGCTCACTGTTGTAAAACTGTCATGTTGCGCAGCCTCTCTCTCACCATATCTCCCGTTGCTTCTCGAAGTCACTTCACTGGAGCATTTTTGTCTTGGGCGTCAAGGGTCTTTCGTTGACTCCTCACTGTGGTGGCACTGTGGGAGCTGAAGTCATCCGTCATTTTTTTTTATTTTTTAATACTCATATCAGAGAAATACAAGAATAGAAGGGTCAGACCTGAAGAGGATGAATGGAGGAAAGATGGAGATGGATAATAATAGATAATAGATAACATCTTTATTTCATTTAAATAATATCAGGATGTTCCATGTCAAAACTGGAAATATGTTTTTTTTTTGTTCTCTTTTAATCTCTCTGAGTGGCATGGTTTCAATACTAAATATATTTAAATTGTCAGCTTTTCTATATATTTGTGCCAGACAGAAAACAGAGCAACAGACAGACGAGTATTTACCAAGAAACTCCAAATAAATTAAGCGAACGAAGGGATTTTGGTGCAAGTGTTTAATGGATCTGGATAAGATAAAAATTTAATAACCATAGCAATCTTTAGAAATCTATATGAGAAATGTTCAATATCTAGACTTTTTTAATGCTTCAGACCCCAGTGGCTTGAAAGTTAAATCTTTCTCTCTCCAGAGCTTCATTTCCGACACAGACGGAGTCCTGTAAGTGGTAAATAATTTTCAGCCAGATTATGTTCTGATATCCAGGCCCATATCTCAACAGCGTCTCCACAATATTGAGTGCATAATGAATTCGTACGATCACATTGAGTGGCAATTCCTGATTGACTGTCTGTACCGGAGAACAGAGAAGAGAGATGATGCGGAGGGAGGGAAGCTTAGCGGTTCATTAGGAAGACAAACAGACTTGCAGATAAATGAGCTGTGACTGACTATATCTTCAGCTGAGATGACTGAACAATAACAAGCTGGGTGAGATGACAGCCATTTTGGGAATGTTATCGGCCATGATTTTGGCATAATGATGCAGAAAGTTGATATTTGACAGAAAAAGAAAAAAAAAAGAAAAAGAAAAAAAAAAACCCTGGAATTAGAATATCCCAGAATTAGTGAAAACCTTGAAATGAAACTTTGGATGTTTCTCACATGAACTCAGATGAGAGGTCACAGCAGTGCTGAAATGTCTGTAGCACTGTCGCTCATAACAGATATCCCGCCTCATTGGCTGATTAGATAACAGGCCATTTACAATTTGCTGTCCCTCCGTATTTAGCACTAGACTCTTATCTCAATGATCCATACCCCGACTCTGCGCATAAATGGCATTAGCTCTCACATCACTCTATTAATCGGATTCATGGCCCTTGGCTCACTGTGGAATGTGCGGATGTTTTGGGAGCCCCTTGCCTCTCTCGCTTGTCTCCCATCTTTGCATCTCTTCTTCTGTCTTGTCTTCATTGTAGACACACAAAAACACACACACACACACACACACACCCACAATTGTCTACTGAAGTGTAGTACTGTGTGCCACCACAGATTGGCAGTATGTGCACTGGCTTCGACGGTTCGGCTGGGATTGGTCATGTGCGGATAAAAGAAGGTCGTGCCATCACTGCTCTCGCACACAGCTCGCTGACTGAACTGTTTAATCGTATCCAGAGGGTTTAGAGTGGAGTACATATACTCTGGCATCAAATCCTCCCTCCCTCTGTGATTGTGACAAGAGAGCTTAACCAGCCAATAACACAGCTCCATTTCCTCTGTGTTTTATAGCTATGGAAACAGGT